GTTTATATGAACAACAAGATAGATTTCAAGCAACAAAACGCACAAATGTAGAAATAAAACTTGAAACTACATACAGCAATCCTAAAAATAAGGATAATTTAAGCGAAATTGTCATTCAAAATAAATATGAGAAGAATTCATGTTCAATAACCAACGAGAGTATGAATAAGAATGTCAATTTTGTTAATGAAAAAGAAAACTCATTAAATCACAAATCCGATAAAAATAAAAAATCTAAAATTGATGAAAATGTTATAAAAAATATTAACGATTCTAAATGTAACTTAGAAAATAATACATTGCAAGAGACAAGGCATGATGACTTAAAACTTACTGATCAATTATTACAAATAGACATCCCTGAGTTGTATGATACTCTATCAAGTAATATCTTTGAAAGTAGTAGCCCTAAAATAACATCTGCTTCAAGACGAAATAGTAAATCATTACTCGATTTCGACGATAGGAAAATAGACTATACCCGAAATGTTACTATTAAACACTCCATTAATGAAGACCAAAACATTCAGAATGTGAATGATATACCAACTAAGAAAATAAGAATTTCGGACGAAACAAGCACTAAAGTATCAGCTTACAGAAATACGATTACGCATTCATCTAGTTTTCAGAATGATATAAAAACAGAAGTTTTTTCGAGAAGTCCTAGTCTTTTTGATGACAGTTTAAATCTCGATACACAAATTTGTAATGTTCTTGAACAAAATATCGTTGATTCTCTACAATTCACAGAATTTGAAGAAACTAGATTATCTGAACCCAAAGTAACAATACAGGACAAAAAAGATGTAGAGTTGCAAATCACTTCTAGTACTAACAACAATGAGACAGTCACAGAAAAGAATGTGAAAGATAAACATATAAATACGAATTCTTTAAATTCACAAGTAAAACAGAGCACACTTTCGTGGAAAGATGATTCTTGGAATGAAACGAAAAAAATAATGGAGAAGTTAAATCAAAGTAAAGATAAAAATAACCATAATATATCAGTTAAATATAACATCAAAGATGGAAAAAATGCAAATGTGCAACATTTCGTAGAAACCAATGAAATAAGTAGTACGACGTTAGAGATAAGAAAGAAATGCGATATGAAATTCGAACGAGCTATGGACGATTATATAAAAAAAGGACCACAGAAACGTAGACTGAGTAATATACAAGTTGCAAAATCACCTATTGCAAATGTCACGGTTTTTAGTAAAAACGGCGGAACATTGTTAGATTCAAACAAATCAGATTTAGATGAAATTGTTATTGCTTCCCAAAATATAAATTCACCTGCTACAAGTAGCAAGTTACAAAGTAAACTAGATTCTGTAAGGAAACAGAAGTTGTATACTCAAAAAGTTTCCGATCGGAAAAATCATGCAATTACTGTTTCAGACAGAATAGAAATTGAAAAATGTAAAATCAAATCAAAATTAAATGAGATACTTGTGCAAAAAACATTAACTAATAAAAATTCTAGTATAGACAATGCAATTTCGAATTCAGACGAAGATACACCCATAAAATCGGAAAATTTTTTACAGAAGTCTACATTTAATTTAAAAAGTACTCAAAATAGTCCTAAAACGTGTGTAAAAACAAATGACCTTGCAGACACTGTAAATGAAACAACTAATTGGAATACGTTAAATGTTATAAAAGTTGGAAGTGATAGAGCCACATTTAATTTATTTAAGCGTGAAGTGATGCAAAAACGATATATTGCGTTAGCTTTAAATTGTGAATTGTATAATGATAAAACTAATAATATAGGCTCTAAGATCATTGGTCCTACTACTACTGAAAGAAAAAAGAGGTCTAAAAAAGTGGAAAATTATGTGCATGCAGAGAGAAAATTATGTGGTGCTGCTATTGCTTGGGAAAACAATATTGCATATTATATTTCTTTCTCTAATGAACGAGGTATTTAAAATTATGTTAATATTAATTTTTCTCCCTCTTAGTTTCTAACACTATAAATTTTTAGATTTAAAAATCCCAGGCAAAGATCAAATGAAACTATTAAAAGAATTGCTGAGTAACACCTTTTTGTATGTAAAATGCTTTGCAACTAAAGAAATGTTTAAAACCTTGTATAAATGCTGTAGTATTACCGCAAGTTGCAAATTTTTAGACCCAAAAGTAGCAGGTTGGCTGCATCATGGGAGCAGTCGTGAAAAAACATTTCATGAAATGGTAAGCAATATGTACAACTTTATTTTTATGAATAAATTTACGTATTATATTAAATTATGTTATAATTTTACTATATTTAAATTAATACACAAAACAGGTGAAAGAATATTTTCCACAAGGATGTTTCATAGCGAAAAGAATAGGTACATGTTATGATGTAGGACCTGGATTGTATATCGAAAGTGAAATAGCAGGAGAGCTCAGAGCATCTGCAGAAGCTGTACTTACATGGCATATAACAGATAAACTATTAGACAAGTTAGAACAACAGAGTCCTACATTACTATACACATTTAAAGGTAATAAATATAATGAATATGCTTCATTATTACTCTATCTCATATTCTTTTACATTTTTGAAACATTAAATATATTTTCAGATATTGAAATGAGGACAGTGACCTTACTAGCTTGCATGGAATTAACTGGTTTAGGTGTATCGTTAAAATCATTACAAGATTTGTCTTCCATCATCCATGAAGAAATGATGTCATTAGAAGAACAAGCATATGCATTATGTGGAAGAAAATTCAATTTTTCCTCGTCTAAGCAAGTTGGAGAGGTTTGTAAATATATTAATGAGATGGATTGTTATTCGCACAGTTGTTTGAATTTAATTGCTAAATTGTCAATTGTTATAGATTTTAGGCTTATACAAGGGAAAAAAGATTAGCGTTAATAAAGCTGTATTAGAGCAGTCTGATCATCCAGTATCTAGTCTTGTTATGTCATGGCGTAAATTAAGTGCAACTCAATCTAAGGCATGTATAGATTAAACAAGTTTTTGATAAAATTAAAAAACTGAAATTACGTGTATAAGTAAACGCGAGGATTCTTTATGAAAAAATGTGGAATACAATTTTATAATACAATCCAGGAATAGTAAATTTGCAAATTTATTTTATTTTATTTTTTATTTTATTTTTTTTATTTTTTATTTTATTTTTTTGCTTTAAACAGGAAAATTATATTCCACATTTTTAGCTTATTTTCACATGTATATAGAATAACTTTCTGCTAATTGTTTACTTATGCTCAGTCAATAATTAGCCAAGTTCAAACTTTTCGAAAATTAAAACTCGAATGAAAAAATGTAATTTTACTCTATATATTAATTAAATAATTCAAAGTAAAATAATGAAATACATTTTTTAGATTATTTATCCAATATTGAATCTAGCTCAACACAGTTCTCGTATTCACGGTAATTGTATTACATCTACATTAACGGGTAGAGTTTCGATGCATGAACCAAATTTACAAAATGTGCCAAAGGATTTTAATTTTAAAGACAATAGCTTTACAATAAGTGTTCGAATGGCATTTATACCAGCAATAGGCAATGTTATGTTGTCAGCAGACTACTGTCAACTTGAATTGAGAATATTAGCTCATTTTTCAAGAGATATACTATTATGTGATATTATGCGGAAACCAGGTGATATTTTTAAGAACATTGCAGCCAATTGGAATCACATATCTGAAGATCAGGTAAATATTGTATAAACAATTTATATTGTTAAAAATAATTTTATTGACATATATTGACACATTAAAAGGTTGATGATAAAATACGTCAGCATACAAAACAATTGTGCTATGGCATGATCTATGGCATGGGAGTGAAAACACTTGCTGAGAATTTATCAGTAGATGAAGTTAAAGCCAAAGAATTTTTAGAATCTTTTATGAATGCATACCCAGGTATATCTAAATGGTTGACTAATGTATTGGACGAAGCACGTACAAATGGTTACATAACAACTATCCTGGAAAGACGTAGAATGTTTCCTGAATTGACAAGTACAAGTCCGGTGGAAAAATGTGGGTGTTCTTAAATATAGATTGGTTTCCATAACAAAATTTTTCGTTTAATTAGGAATAAATTAATGTAATTTTTTAAATCTCATAGTACAAGCAGAACGCCAAGCAGTGAATACAAAAGTTCAGGGTTCTGCAGCTGATATTGCTAAAAAAGCAATGGTGAATATCGAAGAAAGAATACGAGTCGAGTTTCCAATGGCTACAACCATTATGCCTAGTAGCAATCCTATTCGTAAATTAAGAAGTAACAGTAGAGAAGCACAACAAAGAGGTGGTTATCTAGTATTACAACTCCACGATGAACTTTTATATGAGGTCAGTAATAGCTTTGTATCAGTTTTCTATTTTGAATGCTTGTATTTTACCATTTCTCATTTCTTTTCCTCATATTAGGTGAATATACATGATTTAAACCAAGTTGCAAAAATAGTAAAGGAATCGATGGAACAAGTATGTCAACTTGCAGTACCGTTGCCTGTGAAACTTAAAGTTGGACCAGCATGGGGGGATCTTTCTGAATATACTATTTGCTAATCTACTAAGTTTTTCTATAAGAAAATATTTAGTATTGTCTAATTGTTTGAATTAGGTACTTGAATAAAAATTTTTTTATATACACTTTTACATAAAAAGGTAGTCAATCATGTTTCAATTTTTTTCTGTGACTTATATTCTGCATTTTTGCATAGATTTATAGTAAAGTGAATTGTATGTACATATTTATTCTGTTTTTTATCATTTTTTTTTATATCGTAATATGAAACAATGAATTGTATATTTAAATGATATAAATAATTGCATATTTCAGAAGATTAAACCGAGATTTAAATAATAAGTTAATATTTAGTGAACATGAATTTTCAAACAATTTTTACTATTTGAATCATATTATATAAAGTATCAAAATTTATATGATACAAAGTTTAAGATTCAAATTTATACAAAAAAAATTTGAACAGTAATTGTTATACTTTTACTTATTAATATCATTATTTTTGTAAAAATGTATAAGTGATTGTGTTGTATAATACCATTGAATTGTATAAGAAATAAAAGTCTTTGTTGTTCAACATTTTCTATTAATATACATAATAGTAATCTTGCAAGCATTATATCCTATATGTAACTTAAAAAAAATATTTCTTAAATTGTATCACAGGGAGGTGCAAGAGACTGGTGTAACTTTGTTACTGCTGTTTGTACTATTTGTTGAAATGTTTCATCTTCTTTACTGGTGACTTCTAAATTTAATAAATCTATATGTGCTTTTTTCCCATCAACTGTTACATACAGCTTTTCTCCTTTAAAGATCTTAGGAACAGAGTCCTCCCCAAACATTTCTTGTAACATTTCTATCAAACATTCTTTAAAATGCATTCGATCCATTTTTGTAGGTGCTGGTAATACTTTGGGTGGCTGTTCCATCATCTCAGCTTGTAATATTGCAGTCAAAACAGAATCTGCGTACATATCATTTACAGGTGTTGCGATCCACTCCATAGTAACAATTTTTCCATCAATTGTGACATCAATATTTTTAAAAACACGTAATTTTTTATCATCTACAACTTCCAAGTTTCCAGCAATTTGAGTTAGAAGATGTTTTAATACTGGTAATGATGCTGAAAAATAAATGCTCTGTCTTTGAATAACTTGACTCATACTCATATCCGTATATTTTGATAAGTCGCAAGGTGCTAGCATATGATAATTGAAATTTCTTTTCACTAAAACCCCAGATAATGTTTGTCCTGGTTTTGGTGTTTCCATTGCTAATGTGCCCATTACTTTGGCAGTTTTTTCCCCCCTAAAGTATAATTCTACAGCAACAGTATTTCTTGGATTATGTATTTCCATTGTTGTATTAGGATCATCTTCATATTCTCTTTGCAATGCTGCTTTTAATCTACCCATTTCATTTTGTTCCCCATGCACAAGTACAACATGTGGTGGTTTTAAAATACGTATGAATTCTGAAGTTTGTTGATAATCTGTATGTGCTGAAAATGATATATAGTCAACAGACATTTTTAATGGTAACTTTTGTCCAGACATGGTTGTAATCTCTTCAGGTTCTGATAAAATAGTTTTTGCCAATGTTCCCTCTACACAGTAACCAGCAATTATAACTCCATTTTTTGCATCTGTACACCAAGATTCAAATAATTCCCTTGATAGCCCACTTTGCATCATACCAGGAGAAGCCATTACTACACACGGTCCAATATCTTCAAAATGATCAATTCCTTTTAAATTGGAGATATGTTTAAATACAAAAGGATTGTTAATAGCTATTTGCCGTCTAATTTTGTCGTTCATTGCATTTACATAAGTTTGATAAACAGCCATACACTTCTTTGCTAAAGAAGAAGCATAATAAATGGGAATTTCATGAAGTTCAGGATGTTGACTCCAATATTCATCCAAAATAAGGAGAAGTTCCTGTGCTCTACCTAATGCAAACACTGGTATTAAACATCTTCCCCCTCTATTAACAATTTCATGAACTAAATTTGTAAATCTTCCTTCACGATCTTCCCTTTTTTCATGTATATGTGTACCATAAGTAGATTCAGTAATTAAAACATCTGGATGAATATTTGGAATTTCAGCTGCCATCAAATGTCTATCTTCTTGCCGACTAAAATCCCCAGTATATAAAATTTTAACACCTGCTATTTCAATCATAAACATAGCAGCACCTAATACATGGCCGGCATTATAGGCCCAAAATTTGATTCCAAACACATCTTTTTCTTCATGGAAATTGATAGTTTCTATTTTGTCCATACTAGTTTCTAGGTCAGATTCGGTGTATAACATTTGCTCTGTCGCAATGTTACTAACTTTGATATAGTCAGACAAGAGCCAACGATATATGGCTTTAGTGGCGTGTGTCATAAAACATCGTCCTTTAAAACTGGTTTTTTGTAAAAACCATGGTAAGGCTCCACAATGGTCCAAATGAAAATGAGAAATTAGCAGTAAATCAATCTCATCTGCTTCTACCAAGTCCACAAATGGTAATGCATCCATACCAGATAAGCCAGGATGTATACCACAATCTAACATAATCTTTTTGCCTTTAAATTCCAACATGATACACGATCTTCCGACTTCTTGGCCAGCTCCAAGCGGTCTAATCGATAATAAATCACTTTCTTCGGCTGGCACTTGTGTTTCTGGCTTTCTTTTCACAGACATTCTTTTATAATTTTGTGATTATCATCCAATCATAAAAATTATTCACAAATCACATTCTCATGTATAATTTGTTCTAACTATGTTACAAATGACACACGTTTTTTCTTATGTTTGTAGACATTGTTTGTACAAACATATCTTATTGTTACGCCAGAAAGAAAAAATGAATCTTCAACGATCATATACTTAACTAATAAGTAACGCGGTAATAGAGGTTAGAAAATTGTACTTCAGATTTAGTGGTTAAAATATATGAATGATATTTTCAATGAAATTAGTTAAACAAATCTAATCTTCTTCTCTGTTACTCGTATATTACAAACAAAATATCACGTTAATATTTAAATTTATTCCAACTTTTAATACGTAAGTTATGTTATTGTGTACGTATAGAGCAATTCAATACCCACTTACAAGCGCCACAATTGCAATATACTACATGTGGAAGCGTAAGTATAAAATTTAATATAATTTCATTTACATGCACAATATGCACATATTTCATTACTAACAAATATTTTAATTCTTACAACGGAAATGTAAATATGTAAACTTATATTAGTTTCTCCAAAAAATGAAATATATTTTATTTAACTTGATATTAAAGAAAGAAATAAAATTATACTCTTCGTTTGAATTATTCATAAATTTTAGTAGAAAAATAATTGGAAATTTCCATTTAATACATAAAAATATTTATATATTTCTCCAAAAAAGATTATAGGTAGTAAATGTTGAATACATGTAAGATTAACTTTTAAAATTAGACACGTCAAGACTAAAGATTATACACTACAAAGAATTATCTGAATTTCCGTTAATCATAAAACCACGATAGATTCTTAAACCAGGAATTTGGAAATTTTTCTATCTTCCGCTGTCTTTTCTTAAATTTAATACAACGATATAATGACTCGAGCTGTGTAAAACTTTTAAACAGAATTTCAACCTTAAAATAGTATTTTTAATTGGAACAGGCTTGTAATAACATCGGTTTTAATTAAATAAAAGCGTTACAAATTAAAGGCTAAGCTGAATTATACATGTAAAACTCGTACCTTAATCGCCAACTCGAATTTTTCATTTCCTTCCTGTACAAGCGTCTAATATCCATATGTATTTGATATCCCACGTTAGAATACACAACTTTTGTAAACTATGTGCAAAATCAGTTGTTTTAATTATAAAAATAACATAGATATTTAACTTTTTGTTCGAGACGAAAAATTACGCGCACTATTCAAAATTTCAACCGACGCTATCAAATTACAAATACTGCGTACATGTTACTGTCGACAGGTGGTGTCTCTACGTTCTATTCAATTTTAACAAAGCGCGCGAAAATAGATTGTTCTATAACATATAATTTTATATGTTACATTATTTGTATTATTATATTATTCTGCCTTTTTATTTGTAAGTTATATATCATCTCTTATGTCCTTGTAACGATATGTTTAATTCAAAACCTAAATATTTCTCATTTTTATCATTTCATTCTCACTTGATTCAGAGATGATATAAAAAATTAAAATAGAAGCAGAAATATATAAGATAAAGAAGAATATAAAAAATTAAATACCAGATTAAACAAATTTTGACGATTTATACATAGAAAATTGGTTTAAAAAAGATAAATGTGACATTGCAGATACATATGCCTACATTATTATATGTATTTAAATTAATAAATTTATTATATATAGATATATAAAGCAATAAAATTTATATCAACGATATTTAATGAATAATAGGTATCTATACACATACCTTTTAGTTACCAAAAATTATTAATCGTTGGAAACGTTTTGTATACTTTGCCAATATGTATCTGCAACCGGAAAAAATATGTGAACTTTAACCGAGAGTAATTTAGTTTAACATTGAAAGATGGCGCTTTTACAAGTACTGTCTGGATGAAAACGCGCCAGATTAGATTTCAATAAAATCTGAAATATTTGCAACATTCACGAAGATCATATCACGTAAAAGTATTATATATCTTTATTTTCATATATTTGATATTACGATATTATGATATATTTAATATTTGGTCTGTAGTCAAACAACCGTAACCTTGCGCGGAGACTTATATTTTTATTTCTATCAGCTGTCGATCGCGTAGGTATTTAACAAAGTGGGGCCATAGATTATGCTAGTAGTTTAACGGATTATTACTCGTGACAACGTAATTCCAAGATAATTGGCAATCAGTTTTAACTGTATCTATCTACTAACGGTATCTAAGTGCGTTGTGTCTTCAAGAGCAAAGTTCACACTTTAATATGAGTACGTAAAACATAAATACGTCATTAAAATACTTACAGTGCTGTATTATAATCTATTTTGCCTTATATATAGCTCAACATTTGATTATATAATTTTAACATTTGATTACATAATGTTGACTGGTAGAAACTCTAGATCGCATCAGGATACGTGTATAGTGCTATCAAACGTAGCTCGATTCCTACTGCCGCAAATTAATACAAACATTACGATATCTTCGAAACACAAAAATATTATATTCGAAATATAAAATAACTGATTTTCATTTTAGCTTTTATCTTTATGAAGAGGTTACAAGCTTCTTAGAAATTTGTCAATTTTCTTAGAAGGAAATTTACAAAGGATATAATCTAATGACTACACTGTATACTGCGCTATGTACATTTCGCAACTATCACTCTTGTTTACCCATTTTTCTTCACAGTGTATGTATATTTAAAACTACCTGAAAAATTTGAGAGAAACTTTTAAGAATTTATTCTAGATTCATACATGATAATGATACCTGATCTTATTTATTGACGTTAAGATAGATAAAAACATTATCTTTATTCGAATGTCTAAATTCTGAATTGATTTCGTCATTCGTGTACTCTTTATTTGCTTATTTTTCCTTTGTTTTCCTTGTGATTCGCGTCTGAAACTATTTAATTAAAATTTGAAAAGAGAATTTTATGGATTTATTTCAAAACCGCCGAAGCAATAAAAGACGTATCTTTATCCAAATATATAATATCATCTATGTATTTTTTACTATGTTTGCAATTTAAAAAAGAATTAAATTTTTTTTGTAATAGACAAACTTTCTTACTACTTTACAAATATCAACAGATGAAAATATGATATTCCATAAGTTTAAATGCTACTTCAAGAAATGATCGGACATGATATATTAATTGTAAATTTAAAAAATGTTAAATAATTGTTTGTTAATTTCGACCTTTTTATATATGTATTTTGTTATAATTCAGCAAGTTCAACTTGCAGTACAAGTTGAAATAGCAGTGCATGCAAAGGAACCGAGATGCTAAAGGTCACGAGTATATGCTAGTCCAGTGTCACTTCAGTTTAAAATAGCGTATACAGTTACGATTCTACGGCCAAACGGTTCAAGCACACAGTTATTTTAAAGCTTCTATCTTACAAACTTATTCTTTTCTCCGCCTATGTCTCGCATAAAATTAGTCCTAACGGTAATTATTCTTCTGATAGGTTCATTTTGCCAAGTAACAGATGGGGACTTTAGCCTGGAATTGGTTCAAGTAGTAAGTATTAATCGTTTATTTGATTTCACTTTATCCATCTTTAATTGTTTATTGTCCTAATAATTCTTCGGATTGTTAATTAAGGTGAGATTTCCTTAAACTACATTTTAAGATTTATATATTTTAAAGCTGTTTACTTTGTAATTACAATTTATCAATAGTCATTCGATAACGAGTTATGTTTTAAGTTATCATATTAACCATGAAAATGTAATATTCAATAACAACAGCGAATAGTTAATAATACAATTGGTACTAAAATTAAGAATGATTAAGAAAAATTAAGAAAATATCTCGATATATATTATTCATAATTCTTGGAATTTCCCCAGTTATTTAGACATGGAGATAGGACACCGCGTGAAAAAGAAATATCGCCAGTCGATTATCATAACATATCAATTTATGAACCGTGGGGTCTTGCTCAACTGACGAACGTAAGCGGTAATTGCGAACGTTACACGATAAAATAAAAATGTTATTGTTATAATAAATAAACTGTTTTCAGAAAGGAAAGATGAGAGAGTATCGGATCGGAACGATGTTAAAAGAACGTTATGGTAAATTCTTGGGAGATATCTATCATCCCAGTGACGTTTATGCGTACAGTACGGATCACGACCGAACGAAAATGTCCCTTCAATTGGTGTTAGCTGGGCTCTATCATCCAACTCCACTGCAAACGTGGAATCAAAATTTATCGTGGATGCCTATACCGATTTATTATATGCCAGAGAAAATCGATAATATTCTGAAACCCGATCTTTCCCCATTGTAAGCGTTTAAGACATTCTCCTGTTGTTTTATCATACATCGACGAAAGAGACGGAAATTTAGGAAGAACAATAGAGAAACATATAGAGAATGCAAATGAAAATATTAGAGTCAAAATGTTTTATTTACAGATATATGAAAACTGTAGACGAAGTTAGAAATACGGAAGAGATTCTTCGAAAACTACTATCCTATAGAGATCTATTCAAGCTGCTTAGCGAAAAGACTGGTCTGAATATAACGACAACGTATATGGCATATGAACTATACAACCAACTTGTAGCAAAGGTACGAGCAATTATTTATTATAATCTGAGATTGTAAAATTATTACCTTTTGAGTAATACCTGGTAACGATTATAGCGAAAATGATATAAAACTGAAGAATTTTGTTCTAATAATTGAATCAAAGAAACGTATAATACAGTTGATAAATTTTAATAATTTAGATTTGAAAAAATCGGGCAGGATGTATGTACATTAAAATAATTTTGCAGGAAACCATGAATCATTTATTGCCAGAATGGTATACCGAAGAAGTTTCCAAAAAGCTACAAGATATCGTGAAGATAGAATACGAAATACGTTCCTACACGCCGCTTTTGAAACGATTGAACGGCGGTGTGATTATCAGAAGATTCATTGACAATATTCGAATAAACGAGAAACGCGATAGACCAAGAAAGATTTACTTGTATAGCGGACATGAAGTAAATGTCGCTGCTGTTGTGAGAGCGCTCAACTTAACCGAGCCTGAGATACCGCCTTATGGATCTGCGATTATATTTGAGAAACTGAAGGATCTAAATAACAAGGTCTACATCAGGGTAATTACGTTTGATAATTTATCAATGTACTATGTATATAATCGAATTAATTTATTCAACGGGCTAAGACAAAATTAATACGAAGTATAGTAATACCAATGCATTAACTTAGTGAACGATAAAATCGATAAAGTTGCCGATTAATATATATTCGTACGAAGATGAAAGGATATTAATTCTTAGTAATTAAAAGTTATGGAACGTAATTAATCGGGTAATTATGGTTGGCAAGAGAACACGAGGTAGCAAAAACTATTTTATTCATAATTTAGTTGGTTGTT